AAAAAGTTGAACATATAAAAAGTGTTAATGAAGCCGGGCTCGGTGGCTCAGCCTGTAATCCCGCGCCTTTGGGAGGCTGAGGTGAGTGGATTGCCTGAGCCCGCGGGTTCGAGACCCGCCTGGGCAGTGAGACCTCATCTCTACAATAAATCAAAAAATCAGCCGGGTGTGGTAGGGCATGCCTATAATTCCGGCTCCTCGGAAGGCTGAGGCGGAAGGATCGCCGGAGCCAGCAGGTCGAGGCTGCGGTGGCCGGGAGCGGCCACTGCACTCCAGTCTGGGTAACCGAGTGAGACTCCAACTCAAAAAAAATAAAAAAGTGTTAATGGATGTAAAATGTGCCTCACTACATTTTGATCATTGTTATTCCAAGCGATCTAAAAATAGGGGGTGGAGCAAAAGCATTTAATGGTTTTAAAATGGCAAATACACTTAATATCCTTAAAGGCTGGGCACAGTGGCTCACCTCTGTCATTCCATCACTTTGGGAGGCCAGAGTGGGAGGATCACTTGAGCCCAGGAGTTCGAGACCAGCCTGAGCAACCTAGACCCCTCATCTCTACAAAAGACAAAAACAAACTTTTAAAACATGTCTACTTGAAAATAAACTGCTTTTCTAGTTTAGCTGTAAATTGAGAGTCTGTTCATGGGGCTGTGAGCTCCCAGGGCAGCCGGCTGCTCCTGCAGGACTCAGACGTCCCCACCTGGGCCTCCCACGAGGCCTCCCCGAGACTTCAGCTGTCAGTGCAGTGGCGAAGGGAGCTTCCCGTGCCTGGGGCTGGACGGAAGAAAGGGCAGCCCCACCGTGAGGCCAACAACTATCTTGTAGTTAATCATACGAGGGGGGGACCCAAAATAACCCGGAATTATTTTTTGGAGGGTGGACCGCTTGCAGAACAGGCTTCCCCAGCCAAGTAAATGCTCGAGGAACACGTCAGCATCAGTGCATCCGCTGGCTTTGTCGTGAGAGCGACGTCTGACTTCAGCAAGCTACCTCCTGGAGAGTCTTTCCACATGTGTGCCCATGTAAGGATGTGGATCGACCCCGACAGCCTGCCCACATGGTGCTGAGTATTCAACAGTTTTTGACCCGAAATGGCAGAATCCCATGCCCTACACTCCCTATTCATCTGATAAGCAACTTTTTTTTCTGTTTCTCCTGAAGAAAAAAATCCTCAAAGGGAAACATTTTGCCAACGTGGAAGAGATGAAACAAAAAAATGGCAGAAGCACTAAAAGGCATCAAAATTGACGAGTTCAAAAATGGTTTGGAGCAGTTGAAGAGAAAAGTGTCTGGGCAGGTGTCATGCATCAAATGAAGAGCACTTTGAAGGTGACTGAAGTTTACACATGTAAAAATATACAATTTTTAAATAAATAAATCTGTTTTGGGGGGGATTCCCCCCTCATATTTCCTCTTTTCTGTTTTGGCTGGAAAGGGAAAGACCAACCGGCTTCTTCTTCTTTCTTTTTTTGAAATAAGTCTTAGTGAATTTATTTACTTATTTATTTTTAGCTGGAGTCTCACTCCGTCACCCAGACTGGAGTGCAGCGGTCGCTCCCGGCCACCACAGCCTCGACCTGCCGGACTCCAGCAAACCTTCTGCCTCGGCCTTCCAAGTAGCTGGAACCACAGGTATGCGCTACCATGCCCGGCTAATTTTTGATTTATTGTAGAGATGAAGTCTCACCAAGTTGCCTGGGTGGGTCTCGAACCCGCGGACTCAGGCAATCCACCCACCTCAGCCTCCCAAAGCACTGGGATTACAGGCTGAGCCACCGAGCCCGGCCCAACGGGCTTCTGAGGTGCAGTTTTGATCTGTGAGAAGCAGCAGAATTATATCTCTAGTGCTACTGAGCACTAGAAACATTAGAAACATTGTTTAGGGATTAATATCCAGAATGGAGAAAGAATTTTTACTGCCAATACTAAAAAGCCCCAAGCAGACCAATATTTTAAAATGGACAAATGAGCCGGGCTCGGTGGCTCAGCCTGTAATCCCACGCTTTTGGGAGGCTGAGGTGAGTGGATTGCCTGAGCCCGCGGGTTCGAGACCCGCCTGGGCAATTTGGCGAGACCTCATCTCTACAATAAATCGAAAATCAACCGGGCGAGGTAGCGCGTGCCTGTAGTTCCAGCTCCTTGGAAGGCTGAGGCGGAAGGATCGCCGGGGCCCGGCAGGTTGAGGCTGCGGTGGCCGGGAGCGGCCACTGCGCTCCGGTCTGGGCGACAGAGTGAGACTCCAACTCAAAAAATAAATAAATAAAAAATAAATAAAATGGGCAAATGACTTGAATAAATATTTCTCCAAAGAAGACACAAGCGTGGCCACCAATCACGTGGAAATATGCTCAACATCACTGGTCACCAGAGAAATGCCAATTCAGAACGACGAGACGTCACTTCACACCCAATCGGATGACCTGCAGTCAGAGAATCAGAAAACAATAGTGTTAGTGAGAATGTGGAGAAACTAACAGTCTCGGGCACTGTTGGTGGAAAGGTGCAATGGTCCAGTCACTGTGGGAAACTGTATGGCAGTGCCTAACAAAATATTAAACATAGAATTGCCATATGATCCAGCAATTCTACTTCCAGGTAAATACACAAAAGAACTGAAAGCAGGGACTCAAACAGAATTTTACACTAATGCTCATAGCAGCATTTTCCACGATACTCAACAAATGTGGTGTATAAATACCAAGGGATATTATTCAGCCTTGCAAATGAAGGAAATTCTGACACATGCTACAGCATGGATGAACCTTGGGGATATTACGCTAAGTGAAATAAGTCAGTTAGAAAAGACCATATGCTGTATGATTCCACTTACTTGAGGGATGTAGAGGAGTCACATTCATAGAGGCAGAAAGCAGAGTGGGTGCCAGAGGCTGAGGGGACCAGAGTGTGGGGAGTTATTGGTTTTTTTTTTTGTTTTTTTTTTTTTGAGTCAGAGTCTCTCTCTGTCGCCCAGGCTGGAGTGTAGTGGCATGCTCACGGCCCCTGCAACCTCGACCTGCTGGGCACAGGAGATACTTCTAGCCTTCCAAGTAGCTGGAACTACAAGCAAGTATGCACCATCATGCCTGGCTAATTTTTCTTGATTTATTGTTGAGATGAGGTCTTGCCAAGTTGTCCAGGCTGGTCTTGAATTCCTGGGCTCAGGCAATCCTCTCACCTCTGCCTCTCAAAGTGCTGGGATTACAGGCGTGATCCACTGCACCCAGCGGAGGAGTTATTGTTTCTTGGTATGGAGTTTCTCTTTTGCAAGTTGAAAAGAGCTCTCTGGATGGGTAGTGGTGATGTCAACACACAATATGAATATACTTAATGCCACTGAACCATACACTAAAAAATGGCGAAGGTTATTAACTTTATGTGTTATTTCACCACAGCTTAACAAAAACTCAGTGTTATTTAACCCAGTGCAAAAGAAGTTTTGTTCAAAATTTCAACTATTTGGGCCAGTGCAGTGACTCACACTTGTAATCCCAGCATTTTGGGAAGCCAAAGCAAGAGGATTGCTTGAGCCCAGGAGTTCAAGACCAGCCTGGGCAACATAGTGAGACTGTCTCTATAAAACATCAAAACATTAGCCAGGTGTGGTGGTGTATGCCTGTAGTCCTAGCTACTTGGGAAGCTGAGGCAGAAGGATCATCTGAGCCCAGAAAGCTGGGGCTGCGGTGAGCCGTGATCATACCACTGCTCCAGACTGGGAGACAGTGAGACTCTGACTCAAAATAAACAAACAAATAAATAAATAAATAAATAACAATAAATTTCAAATATTTGTTCAAAAGGCTTATTTAACAAACCCCTGCTAATTTCTAGGCCCTGTGTTCAGTGCTCAGGGAGGGAAGAGAAAGGTAATACCTATTCTCAAGAACCTCACACTTCAGTCAGGGAAAGAGAAGAGAAAGACGAGAGAAAGACAGATAGAGGTCTTCAGAACTTTTCTTTTTTTTTAATATGAGCTAGACTTGAACTCCTGGGCTCAAGCAATCATCCCACCTCAGCCTCCCAAGTAGCTGGGACTACGGGTGTGTGCTACTATCCTCGGCTAAGATAAGAATCTTAATAAATAAACAAAAAGGCAGAATGGACAGAAGCCTCAGGAGAGATACTGCATGTGCACAGAGCTAAGGCTTTGGAGGTGGAAAACAGGTATCACCACACCAAACATAAAATTTAAGAGTGGAAGACAGATTTACACATCACAGGCTTGGAAGAATTTGAGGGGTTGATTAATACCTGTGAAAAGGAAAATATTCAAAATGACAACACGAGGAGTGGGGTGGGGATAGAGGATAAGAAAAGAGAAAATCTGGCTGCTGCATATGAGGGTCTAAAACAGTTCCATGGTTAGAAAGAAAGGACTAGAATACAACAGTAGGACTAAATCCACCACGAAATGACAGCCAATGTCTCCTGAAATGTAGCTTCCTTCCTGGGACCATCCCTACTGTTCACACTGTCATTTTCTTCGCCACAGCCCATCAGGACTGTTGCCAGAGACAACCTGGTGGGAGGCTTTGGTCAGTATCTGTCAGAGTCAGAGACCACCAAGCTAGAGAGTGACATGAGAAGGGTGGGAAACAACCAGAAGGAGTTGAGGTGGAAGGCCATTCCTGTCCTTTTCATTTTATTTTATGTAAGCCAGGTCTTGTTCAGTCGCCCAGGCTAGAGTGTAGTGGTACGATCACAGCTCACTGGAGCCCCCAACTCCTGGGCTCAAGTGATCCTCCTTCCACAGCCTTCCGAGGAGTGTGTCACTCTGTCCAGATAATTTAAAAAAGAAATTTTTTTTGTAGAGATGGGGTCTTGCTGTGTTGTCCAGGCTGGTTTCAAACTCCTAGCTGCAAGTAATCCTCCTGCCTCGGCCTCCCAAAGTGCTGAAATTGCAGGTGTGAGCCACTGCACCCGGCTCATCCTTGCTCTTTGTTCTGTATATCACATACTTTACCAGATATAAAACCTGACTTTAAAAGAAATGTTTCACTCACTTGAAATGCAGAAATATTTATTTTGGTTTCCTTCATTGTTTTTGGAAATTCTGTTTTGGTTTATAAAACATAGAAATAGCCAACACTTAAAGCAAACATTCAAAACTCCAATGTGACAAATTATTGACTTTTTGTGCAATTAAGAATACATATATGAAGTTAAGCTACCAAATAGTGTTATTACAATGACAATTCTTTAGTGCAAACCCTGTTGTGCTTGTATAATACATTTACTCTTACATACCCAAAAACAGTTGCTTCAAATGTATAAATGACAGCTCAATTCAGTCAAATGTGGCAAAGACTTGCAATAAAGTGAAATGCTGTTAATTTCCCAAATCAACTTAAAAAACATCCCTTGAGAAGTTAATCCCGGGAAATGATCTTTTCAGATTTCTACATCTTAGAATTTTGGCTTGTCAAATACATTTCATAGAAATCAGGTAGCAGTATAAGAACATCCGTTTATTACTGTCCATTTCAATAAGTACATCTACTCCCTCAATATTTTTAAAGACATGCATTGCCTGAGAGTTTATTTGGGGGGAAGAAAGTCAGTTAACCACAACATGATCTTTTGATATGAAAACCACGTTACAGACCGGTTGGCCATTACACACAAAGTGAGTGGGTCAGTAGATAAAGTGGACAGTCATTCAGGCATCACAGTTAAGTGTGGCTGACCCAGATCGTTCCTTCTTTCTTGAAATGCCTGTCTCCACTGTAGACTCTAAGGCAGATTTTTTTCATAACCCCCGGGAAGGGATGGAGGGAGGGAATCAGGCCTGGAGAGCAGAGTCCAGGAGCCTTGTGCCAGGGTGAGAACCCATCGCTCTGATGAGCCACCAATCGCCAAGGACTCCGCACCTGCACTGTTCTGAGTTGGATCTGCCCCTCAGTTTACCGGAAACGTCACGCTCCAGCAGGACCCGCCCGGGACTGTGAAGAAGAGCATGAATCTCATAATCCTTATGGCTCGGAAGGGTCATGTGAGTGCCTGTAAGATAGGGAAGGGATGGTGACGGGGATTAAGAAAATCTCTGGTCTGTGTGTGACATTCTCCAGCCAGGACAATTCTTGTTTTTCAAGGGGCAGCTTCCCTCCAGTGCACTGTACTCTTTAGAGCAGCAGACGGCTGCAGAATTTGCAGCAACTAGCAGACATCTCAGAAATAGCAAAGTCCTAACCCCTTGGTTAGAAAAACAGGGAGACAAAAGCTTTAAAACCCGCCTTTTTAACTGAGGAAGTCTCAAATAACTTAGGACATTTAGAAGTTTCCCCTTTACAATTTTTAAGGCTCATTTGGAAATTGTTGATCACCATAAACATGGTCTGCAACACAAGGTGACTGTAAGGCAGTGTTCCGTTTCCTCTAATATTCCTATGACAAGACCCCAACGAACAAGTCCAACGCGAATGCTTCCTCCCCTGCACTTGCTGTACTCAACATGAAGGCCATCAGTGGAAGAGACTGTGGAGGGGTGCCATTTCTTCCAAGCTTTCTTCCTCCCGTTAAACCTTGATGGTGGAATAAAGTTCATCTATCTGCGACCTGAAATAGTTCCGTAGTTCTGGCCTTTTTGCCTTCATTGTTGGAGTCAAAAGGCCATTGTCGATAGAAAATAATTCAGGGTGTAGTGTGATGCCCTTGACCTGCAAATAAACAAGGATGCTGAGTGAGGAGAGAGGACACTGGCCAACGAGTCTACAAAAGCACTGCAGCTCTGGTGGGGGATAAAGACTCCACAGGCCATCCAATGTATCCTCTCACTTCAGGCAGTTTGCACTCTCTCAACCAAGCACAGGGATCCTACTCTAGGATGGATTGGATCCTGACCGCAATGAAAAGAGAATTCAATCCCTTGGTTCAAAAAACCTTTCCTCTGTCAAACCACTGCGTTGTTTATTCCTCATGTATTTCTTCAGGTCATCTCATCTGTGTGTTTAATCTACTTATAAAAGTTCTTCAAGCAAAAAATTTGCTTTACCAGAGTTCCTGCTCTTAGATGAAAGTCATACCTGCTCGAATGGTTTTAGACCAGAATCCTTCCCAAGCCTCACCATGTCTTCTAGGATCGCTTTCTTGACATCCTATTAAGAAGAGAAGATACTTCTTCTGTTGGAGGCCTCTGCATATCCATATGTACTTTTAGCTCAAAGTTAAGACGCAGAAGATAGACTGAACACTGCAGAGCCTTACCTTATTTCTGCACAATTCCTCAAAGGATCCATCAAATCCTCTCTTTCGGGCCCAGGAGCCTAATGTCTCAATGTCTGGTACCACAATTGCTATGAGAAATGCCTTTAACACAAATGAGTTAATTATTACATGGCTTAATCCCAAAGCTCTAAAGTAGTGCTTCTTTTTTTTCCTGAATCATGGACCCCCAGGAAACTTGTGAAAGTTATGGCCTCTCTCTTCAGAACATACTACTCCCCTCCCCCAGAAGTTCACTGAGCCCAGGTTAAGAATTCCTTGCTCTAAAACACAGATGGCCTCAGGGATTTGCAATTAATGTTTAAAAGAAACACTGGAAGTCAAAATCTAGCAAACCATAATTTTAATTTACTTTATGTATACTTACTTTTATAAAACAGAGTCAAATAAATAAACAAGGTGATAAGATATCAGACGTCTGCTTTAAAACAAGGAAAGAAAATGTATAAAGACTTTTTTTTTGGTCATTTTGAGACAGGGTCTTGCTCTGTTGCCCAGGCTGAAGTGCAGTAGCACTCACTGCAGCCTTTAACACTTGGGTTCAGGTGGTCCTCCTGCTTCAGCCTCCCGGGTAGTTAGGACCACAGGTGTGTGCCACCACACCTAGCTAATCTTAAAGTTGCTTTTTTTTCATTTTTCTTTTTGAGATGGAGCCCTTCTGTGTTGTGCAGGCTAGTCTCAGACGACCTTCCCGCTTGGCCTCCCAAAACACTGGGGTTATAGGTGTGAGCCACTGCACCCGGCCCCAGATGCATTTTTAAAAACATCACTAATACCTCATTCTTTATAATCTAGAGACAATAAAATTAAGTAAAAATCAAAAGCACAGTAAGATTCTATATCAAAGAAAACAAGGTGTAAATCTCAAAGAGAAGTACATTCTATTATAAGAAAATATTCTTCCAAAATAATTTTAAAATTGTAGGAGTTGTCAAAAAATTAACTTTCAGGAAACTAGATCTCCTTGCTATCATCTGTCTAACACTGGCAAATACTGTACACATTTCACTGCAATAGTTGTTTTGATTTTCAACTTTGAGTATCCTTGGTTCACAACCACAATTTTCTCAAAAATAATTAGAGGCATATCATAAAAAGCAGGACTTAATATGTTTCAAAAATTTAAACTTTCTCAAAAATTTAAACTTTCTTATAATCCACATGTCAATATTTTCCTTCATAATTAAGTTAAAAACATATTATCCCCCATCTTTATCCAGTTTCCCTTGGTACATAAGTAAAATAAAAATATGGAAATGAAAGAGAACATATTTTTCTGGGTAGGAAATGACAAGTAGCAAATAATGGCTAATAATGGTCAATGGAAATCGCACATCAGATGGGAAAGTCAATTTACACGCAGCTCAAACTGTCAACCACACTGAAAGCCCCTGGAGGACCAGGCACGAGCAATGCCTTCACAATGGAATTCACAGCGAGGAAGCTCATACCTGCAAGCTTTCTCCGTGCACAAACACCTGAGCAACAGGTTCACTTCGCAGGTATATGTTTTCAATCTTTTCGGGTGCTATGTATTCTCCTTGTGCCAGTTTAAATATGTGCTTTTTCCTGTCGATGATCTTCAAGGTGCCATTCTGATGAACAGAGGGGAGGGGAGTGTGAATGGTTCCAAGGTTGATTTCCACCCAGGATCGATCACAAAGCAGTATAAAGTATTTGATTTATCATTTTATTCTAATAACATCTCAAAGAAGTTGGTTATTACTTCATTTTACAGAGAGGGAAACTAAAGCTCAGAGAGACTAATCACTTGTCCAAGGCGCCACAGACAAGAACAGGACAGAAAAAGGGTAAAATGGCCTGTGATTATTCAGTTTCACCACCTGGCATCAGTGACTGGCCAGTCAACTGGCAGGGCTCTGTGTGAGTCCTCCACCTGGGCACCTTCACTTAGTCTCCTGTCTGAATCCAGTGCACACACATTTGCTCACCCAGGGAGTTACTTCCTTGAGAGCAGGGACACAGACTCTTCCTTCCACGGTGCTCTGCACAGAACAGGGACCAAGAAATGCTCACTACACTAAGGCAGAATTTCCCTCTTATCTTTTGGAGGGTGCTCCAGGTGCTTTGGGAAGAGTCAGCCCACGGCCTCACGTAACAGTGGGAATGCCCTGCCATCTCTGGACCAGACCAGCCAAATGCCAGCAGCGCCTATCTTGGTAAACCAAGCCCCAGTCCCACCTTGAACCCACTCCCACTGCCGGGGGCCGTTCTCATGTCTCCAAAAGTCATCTGCTAGAAAGTTTGTAGGGTTCTCTCATTCCACACCAGTTCTCCATTTTATGAGGTCCAGAGAGGTTATGGGATGTGTTCATGAGAGAGAGCTTGAATTCAAACTGATATGTAACCCCACTTGAACCCGAGGACAGGGATTTAATATATTTCTGAAAAACTTGGGTATTATGAATTCTGGATTAATTTTGAGAGGCATTTTTGTAATCAATAAAAATTCCAGAAAACTAAACACTTTAAGACTATAAGAATCTGATAATATATAATAAAAATTACATTAGCCATTTTAATGTTTATAGTTCATACAGTAATAACTTAGGACAAGCAGTAGTTGTTACCACAGCAAACAAAACTGACCAAATCTACCAAATAAAGATAGGACTGATAAGGTTTTGTGCACAAGTCTCTCACTCCTAAGATGGACTCTCTGGAGTTTCTCTACATAAATGGTTCTGGGATTAAATGCAAGGAATTTATCTAATCTGTGAAACCCCCTATTCTTAATGAAATGGCAAATCTAAAACACACATTTATTTCCTGAATCTTGCCCACCCTCTGTTCTTGGCAGTCTATACAACTTTCTCAGACCCTCATTAACTGAGGGCCACCATCCAGGCACAGCACTGGCACTGCAGAAAGCCATTGTCTCTCTGGATTCCATATGAGAAACAGCTGCCAGAATTGACACTAAACATCAAAACAAAACATACTGGCTAAAGTTAAAGTAAAAATTCCAAACAAGGATGCTGAGAGTACAAGCCTGTCGCCTACAGTAAATAAAACAGTCTACATCACATCACCACTCAACATGGAGAATGGGAAAGGGAAAATTCAGGGTGCCACTGCCACATGGCTGCTGGACAGCAGATGGAATATCTTCCTCCCTAAGTGGAACAAAATTGTGTGAACAGGGGAGGCAATGACTTACTGGTAACCATTTCCCAATGTCCCCTGTGTGTAACCAGCCATCTTTATCCAAAGCTTCTGCTGTTTTTGCTGGGTCTTTCAAGTAGCCCTGGAATACATTTGGCCCTTTTACACACACCTAAAGGAAAAAAAGACCATCTGTTAACAGTACTTCCTGGGGCTTCTCCAAAGAAAACTGGTGTGTGTGTGTGTGTGTGTGTGTGTGTGTGTGTGTGTGTGTGTGTGTGTGTGTGTCTCCTAACCTTTAGGCAGAAGCCCTGAATTCCATGGTCCAGAGGGAGTTACAAGAGCCCCATCAGATCCTGAAGGCACTTGCAGTGCCCCCACTTCCCCTCTTTATTACCTCAGCTGCAGTTGGATTGCAGGGCTAATGCTTGCCCTAGGTTCCGGCTCCAAGCTGCTGGAAAGCTCCACAGGGGAAGAAATGGCTTTTAAGTAATTAGGCCCTCCCCCAGCAGTCAGTAGCTCACTAACAGGTGTCCAGGGCGATGAGCAGACAGGAGATGTGCCCTGGGGACTCAGGCTGCTGGAGCCTTAAGGCTCTTGGGCCCAAATCCCTGTCAGCTCTGACAAGAGAAGGCAGGCCCTGGGGTCCCTCCTCCCCAGCCCTCAAGAGCTGAACATGAATGTACCCACAGAAAGAAGCCAGTTTGGCTCCAGGATCACCAACAAAGTCAAGCGCAATGGCTTTACCGAGCCGGTGAGTAATGCCACTGCACTGGAAGCGGCCCACGATGACAGGCGATGGCAACCAGGAGGCTGGCTAGTGGGGTTCCACTCACCTCACCTTCGCCCTTGGCTGCCATGTAATTCATTTCTTCCACATCGACAAGTTTTATAAAATTGCAAGGCATTGGGGCACCAACATGGCCTGCATATTAAACAAGCAGAGTATCATTCCTAGGACTACAAATAACCTCAAGTCAAATTCTTTTTATAACAAACAAGGCTCCTTATAACAAGAACAGCTGGCACAAAGTTCTGATTTCTGTAGTTACAGTCGTTCTCTCTCTGTAAAGTAATTTAAGAAAGTCTATTCCTAGAATAGAGACAAAAATACTCAGAAGTCTCTGCAGGACCTTTCCCAAGTTTGATGCTCTGAATTTTCCATCAATACTTTGGCCTCCAATGTTAAGGGCTACCACAAACGTCTGGAAGCAAGCTTTCTGAGACTTTTGCCTGGCTTCTGCCATCTGACAGCCCTGTCTGTGACTGCCACTCCTACACACAGACTTCTTATGGTCCTGACGCTCTAAGAAGCAGAGAGAACATATGCAGCATTGGCAACCCTCACGCACCACCTGGTTCTGATCAATATGGCCTTTATTTCCTTAAGTATGGATGAGTATGCTTTACATTTAAGTTTAGTAAGATAGAACAGTGCTTATTTCTACAGCTAATGTACCTCTCCTGCCAAAGGGTGTTAAGATGAGTTGTCTTTTCCAAAAACAAAAAATAATAGATACTAGATATGTTTTAAGAACATTGCAAATAATTCTTCCTATGTTTTAATTATTTGTGCTTATAGAGATCACAATTCCAAATTATCTGGCTGTTCAGGAACCTGGAGTTAAAAATTAAACACCATGAAGAAGATTAACAGACTGTGTTGATCCCAGTAGAATTATATTACTAGATAGTGCTAGATACTAGAATAGATGTTGGTGCTGGATGGTATTACTGGATATTTATAATGCTCCAAATAAGTCAGGGAAGTTCAATTATCATGGGATGGCATATACTAGCCATGTGGCACAGACTCAGGTTAGAATCCTGGCTTCAAAGCACAGTGCTGTGTATATTCTTATGTATTATTTACATGCTATTCGAGCAAACAATCTATAAATTCCTCTCTGAGGCACCAGTGCTGATCTTGCAGGTATGTTGTTGGGATTACAATGACATAAAGAGCATCCTACACACCCATCAGAGAACCTTATCCATGACTGGTGCTCAACTAAATATTTTTGTTTGTTTTTCCCCCTTTTCCTTTTGATCAATAGGACTTGTGTTTATTCTTACCTGTGACAATCTTAATCTAGTACAAAGGGTACCCTCCCTCAGATGTCACCCATAGGGTCTAGGCAAATCTCTACTGCCACCAGCTTCACAATCAGATTCCCAATTCTATCACACTCAGCTCCAGGGGGCATTTTCCCTACAGCATCCTTACTTACAAGATTGTCTGCCCTGAGGCCTAACTTCTAAGACAAAGCACTTGTTTTTTGTTTTTGTTTTTCTGAGTCAGGGTCTCACTCTGTTGCCCAGGCTGGAGTGCAGTGGCATGATCACAGTTTACCACAGCCTCAAACTCTTGGGCTCAAGCAATCCTCCCATCTCAGCCTCTGAAGTAACTGAGACTGCATACCACTATGCCCCACTAATTTTTTGATTTTTTTTTTTGTAGAGACAAGTCTTACTAAGTTGCCTAGGTTGGTCTCGAACTCCTGGACTCAAGTAATCCTCCTGCTTGGCTTCCCAAAGTGCTGGGATTACAGAATGTGAGCCTATAATTATTACAGATTAGTGAACAAATCAATGATTATCCCAATCTCAATAATTCCAATAAACCAATTTTAATAGTAAGATGCCAAAAAGGACCCTCTGGTCAGTCATACCTGCTGTCCAGTCTCCAGGCACAGTCAGGCAGCACCCAGCAGTGCACTCAGTCTGTCCATAACCTTCATAAAACTGGGCATCAAGAGATGGGACATTATTAAGGAGAGTACAGTCTCATCTATTCTGGAAATACACAAGTAATGAAGCCTGCTAACTCTCTTCAGGAATGGCTGATTGTGCTGAGATCTCATTTCAAATGGTCTGTCTAGTAAGTTCACTCAACACTACAACATGCTCTACAAGAGCAGCCACACATACATCTTCACCCCATGCCAAACTAACTCTTGTCCATATTCTTTCTACTTCCTTCCTGTGGACAAGCAAGAAAGAAACTACGCAGGATGGGTCGCTACCCACTCAGGAGTACACTTGCTCTGCCAGTTCACAGGTGTTCCCCACACATCCTGCCTGCTACCAAGTCTCCCTTGCCCCCTTTACAATAGGTTATTAGCATGGTTTGCAGGTAGCTTTCTTGCCTCTGACCATTTCCCATATCTGCATGCCTGCCTCTAAGGGCATGTTTTCTGCCTTACCCTAGAGAATATTATACTCATGGTGGCCACAAACACACATTCCTCTCCTAGTCTAGAAACATGTATGTGCTTATTTCTCCAAGCAACCTGTAATAACATATTTTCCAAACAAAAATAAGACACACACACCAAGTAGAGGGTGGGGAAGCCCGTGGTGATGTTGGTCAAAGGTCATAACATTTCTGTTAGGAAAAATAAGTTCACGTGATCTATTGTGCAACATGATAACTATAGTTATTAACAATGTATTATATATGAACATTGCTGACAGAGTAGATTCCAAGTGTTCTCATTACACACATACATCCCACACACAAAACGGCAAGTATGTGAGGTAAAGCATATGTTAATTCACTCAATTTAGTCATTACACAATGTATACATATATCAAAACACCATGTAGCACACCATAAATATATATACTTTAAATCTGTCAGAAAAAAAAAGTATGCACAAAGAGAATAAAAGTGACTTTTGGTACAGAAGGAGACTCAGCATTACAAAATCTGGGAGGATCAAATAACATGAAGTCTGCCTCACCTGACAGCCAAGGGCCGCTCTCAGGAATGTCAGCACAGTGGCAGACACGGGTGCAGCTCCTGTGACCATCAACCGGACCCTTCCGCCTAGGCTCGACTTGCAAAGCAGAGAGTAGGAGAAGGCCAGGGTTATGCGTCTGGAAGTCAGTGGGTCCCCCAGCCAACGACACCTGCCTGGGACCCCATGCCCTATCCATTAGCTCCTCTGCAAGCCACGCCCCAACCACACTCAGGGTGGCACACAGAGCATTCATAGTTGTTCCTGATAGGAACACAGGGTTGGAGTTTGCTTCCCTTCCAACTACTCCACTTCTTCCTAGCAGGTATGGAAGCAAGCCATCACTTCTGCCAAACTAGAATAAGACTGTGGTGGATTTGTGGGAACTGCCACAATTTTGGCATTTTGGAGGACACAATACAATTATACATTCTTTATCACTCATGCTTAAAAAATTACCTCAAGAGTCACATACTAGTTCCAGAAAAGCTAAACAAGATGGAGCATTAGAAAGGTTATAATACCCTGAATAATTTTCCCCCCAGATAGCTACAATATTTTTCGGACTTATCTTAGACACTGAGATTTTACTTAATGGCTTTATCCTTAGTTTTCGACCAGAATTAATACAAATATGTCATTCTCTCCCTACAAATATGTCTTCACATCTCTCCTTAAAAAAAAAAAAAATCCCTCATAGAAATTTTGAAACCTACGTTAGTTTACACAAGAAACAGTGGCTGTGAGTCTATTTATTTTTAAATTTTTTGTAGAAACACGGTCTCACTGTGTTGCTCAGGCTGGTCTCAAACTCCTAGGCTCAAGCAATCCTTCTGTCTTGACCTCTCAAAGTGCTGGGATTATAGGCGTGAGCCACTATGCCCAGCCTGGGAGTCTGTTGTTACCTGTATCTTGTGGAAGATCAGCTTGTCCCACAGGCTGTTGTTTCGAATGATGCCACTGCGAAGTTCTGCTTCTTTCCTCTTGGAGGCAAAGTCCAAGAGCCATCGTTTCAGCGTGGTGTTTGCTTGACCAAAAATCTAATGAGGTAAAAAATAAGACGGTTTTCACACTTACTCAGATGGCTAGAATAAGAAGGTCAGATAATTCCAAGTGCTGGTGAGGATGTGGAGAAATCGGAACCTGCACACATTGCTGGTGGGAATCAGGTTGCCCCTTCCTCTCACATTGTATATCTCTGTGCACATGTAAAATATCAGTTGCTTGGCCACAGTGAGAGAAGTGACTATGCCTGTGCTGGACCCCGCAGCCAGGTGGAATCAGGTTGACCCTTCCTCTCACAGTTATCACAGGACGCGCAATTCTACTCGTAGGTATATGCCCAGGAAAGATGAAAACATTCATCCCCAAATGCCCATCAGTGAAGGAATGGATAAATAAAATGTTTTATACCCATACAGTAGAATATCATTTGCCCATTAAAAGGAATAAGTACTGATACCTACTGCATGGATGAAACTTGAAAACATGCTCACGAAAGAAGCCAGTCACAAAAGAACATGCAAGCACGATTCCATTAATATAAATTCCAGAACAGAGAAAGCTATAAATTTAGAATGTGGTTGCTTAGGGGTGGAGCGGCTTGGGGCAAGGGGTGATGGCTAAAGTGTAGGTAAAAAGGTTTCTTTTTGAGATGATAAAAATGTGCCAAAACTGACAGTGGTGATGGTGGCGGAACTCTGGAAAAGTACTAAAAACCTTCGAATTGTACACTTGAAGTGGGTGAATTATGTGTGAATTATATCTCAATAAAGCTGTCTAAAACTTTTTTTAAAGAACCATAAAAAGAAAGAATGTTCTCAGAGATGACAGAAACTCTGCCTCAAGACTAGACTATTAACGCTCCCTAGTGGAAGTTCATTCTGGACACTGCTCACGCCACGCACGGTCCGCCTGGCTGCAGGGTCCAGCACAGGCGTAGTCACTTTTCTCACTGTGGCCAAGCAGCTGATATTTTACGTGTGCACACAGATATACAATTAAGAACAACATTTCCTAGTTATTGTTCTCATGTGACCCAATTAGAACTTCATGAGACAGACAGCAGGAGAGGAGAGGCAACAGTCCCTTTTAAAGATGAGAAAGCAGAGACTCAAAGAGCTTATTGTAAAAATAAAACGACCTCCCACCTTCTGTGCCTACGGTTTATAAAGAGTATCTGTGTGTTTTCTCTTAATCCTTACCAGCAACTCTGCTGCTGCAGATTGCAAATGCAATCTAACTTTACAGATGGGCAAACTGAAGTTCTGCAAGATGAAGAGGACTGTCCAGGTCACGCCGACGGCACATGGCTGAGCCCAACTCAAAGCCCAGGCCCTGCTTCAAAGTCAGCACTCCCACCCCCAGACTTTGCCACGTGGAACTTACTCGGTCAAACATCCGGTTCAGCAGTCTCGGAACCACAGGAAAGATAGTGGGCTGCAACACCTTGAGATCATCCATAAGCAGCCTGATGTCTCCTTGGAAAAATCCTATTTTAGCTCCATGACACAGCATTACACACTACAGAGGCACACAGAAACAACACACATTTTATCATTATAGCAGGAGTTACACAACATACAGAAAACACACAAGACTTCAATTTTAACATTCCAGGACAGTTCCTAGAAATCTTAAAGTTCCTAAATACAGGTAGTTTTTGAAAACAGTGTTTGTGCATTTACCAGTCATTGTACAACATGGAAAGGTGGCATTTTTCGTGATCATTCTGAAAATCTAGGAGTATGCATGAAACTAGACTATATTGTTTTTAGTGACGCTCTTAGAGGCTCTACTCTTTTCAGTTTGGTAAAAAAGATCTTGTTGACTGAATGACATCATATTACATATTCTAAATATTTTCAGTCTTCCATTTCCAGAAACTTTAGGTCTAATTTACTTTCAAAATAAAAATAACTACTCGCTTACAGTCTAAGCTCATTAAAGTCTCACTTTCTTTCATTTGAACCTAACTACAAATTTCTGAAAGGCCATTGAATATGACAAGGTCAGGTTATCTAACACCAGAGAAGCTTGCCATTCAGCTACAACACACTGCATGACTTTCTTCCTATGTACAAACCACAAGCCATATGGACTTGACAAACAGTCTTCCTATTTCAAATTTAAAAGAGAAAAGAAGATTCAAAAGATGATGCAACAAAAGGATAAACAACCTCTGGTTTGAAAGTAAAAAGAACCAAAAAGATACACCACCATGGTTCATTGTTTAAAAACTAAAGCTCAGGAGGCTTTTGTTCCGTGTGGCCTGACTCCCAGGCATACCTCTAACATGAGTTAGGTACACATGGTCCATTAGCAACTCACTTGAAAGCACTCTGCCAACTCAAGCAATCCTGTACTGGGCAGGACGCATATGCAACAGATGGGAGACGGCATCTAATCATCCTCTATCCTTTGGGGTAAGTAAATCCTACAGGGTAACAGTCATCCAAAGTCTTGGCTCCCTATTACTAGTCACCTCTGTCTCCAACACCTAGCATAGTGCCTAACACACAGCTGGCACTCAGTAACTAGTCACTAAATGAATGAAAGGTTTTTCCTATGGTATACAATCCAAAACTGTCCAAGAAGAAAATAGGTTGTTCTTGGTCCATTTTTAAATTAGTCCCACAGTTGAGTACAGGGAGCCTAGCCAAATGTCAACCAAAAGGTCATCCCCCTTTACCAAGGTCACTTCGAATATTCGTGAAAACAACTAGTGGTAAGCCAAGCTGTGTCTGAAAATTAGAGACATCTTATAGAACAGAAGTCTCAAGAGGTTTTGTAGAAATGAGTTAATAAACATTTTACTTTTAGAGTTAATCTTTCTGGACTCATGTCCATAGTAGTATACTTCAAAAGTTTGAGCTTCTAATTTTAAAATGAATAATTAAAATTCAAGTAGCCTGTTCAGACCCCCCAAAAGAACATACACTCTTTCAAATAACTTGTACCATTTCTCAAATGAGGCTGAGCAATCATTAATAAAACAAAAAACAACAGATGCTGGCAAGGATGAGGAGAAAATGTAACACTTCTACACTGTTGGTGGGAATACAAACTAGTTGAACTTCTATGGAAAACAGTGTGGCGATTTCTAAAAGAACTAGAAACTGACCATCCATATGATCCAGCAATCCCCCTTCTGGGAATATAGTTGGAAACTTAAATCACTCTACAAAAAAGATACCTGCAATGCATATTTATTGCAGCACTACTCACAATAGCAAAAACATGGAATCAGCCATGCTGCCCATCAAAACTTGACTGGATAGAAAAAATGTGGCACATATACACAATGGAATATTATGTAGCCCTAAAGAAGGATAAAATTATGGACTTCCCAGCAGCTTGTATGGCTTTAGAGTCCATCATACTCAGAGATCTATCACAGAAACAAAGAACTGAGTACATGTTTTCACTCATAAGCAGACACTGAACATTTACCATAATACAATAAGAAAGGGATTGGCAGTAGCAGGAAACTGCCAGGGGAGGGGGGAGGGGCACATGACATCAATAAGGGTCCCTGATCTCAAACTGGGTGAAGTGGGGACCAAAGGGAGGCCCAAACTTTGCCTGAATGACGACCACTTGCAGGCCTACATCTGAATTGTACCCCACACATCTTTAAAATAAAGTAATTTCTAAAAAAGGAAAAAAACAAAAGATAAAATAAAATGAGGCTGAGCAAATAACAATCTGTGGAGATGACAGTCTACATGTAACACTTACCTGCAGGAGTTGCTCATACATGTGTGCAAGTGGCAAAAACGAAATGTGTATGTCACTGGCATTCAAGACAATCACTTTCTGTAAAACACAACAACTTAGCAGAACACACAAACGAGCAAGCAAGCAAGGAAAACAAAACTAAATGCCTACCTCTACAACTCTCTCAAACATATGGGCGAGAGGCAAGAAAGATATCAAAGTATCGTCTGGGGAAGGACTGACTGTGTTCTGTAAGCGAAGACACCAGCAAGGCAGAAAAGCATTAAAATTTCCAGTAGTTTTCCATTTTATTTCAGAGCACATAATGCCTCAATTCTAAGGAGAAACAGCTTTTGCTTAATTAAGGTCAACAATTTTGTTCTCCCCACAGAATAAAATGAAAAGCAGTACTTTATCCAAATACCGTGAAAGTCATTCTCAATGACAAAGTAAATCCACTTCATTACTTTAATCAAAACAAGAAAAAATTTACCCAAATTGGAAGGTTAAGGGATTATGTGCTCTAGCATATAATTATAGTACCCCAGTACCCAGCAGCTCAATTCCACCTTAAAATAATTATAGTACCCCAGTACCCAGCAGCTCAATTCCACCTTAAGATAAATATAAGATCCATTCCACCATAAATAGTATATCATGTTGCAAAGAGAGAAGAGAAATAGAATTTCCAAAGTCCTCCTCTTTATAGCATAAATATATCTAGAGTACTTAAATTTAATCAACATTTTAACCGTAACCCCATTTCTACCCAATGAAAAATATCACAATTTGTTTTGCATAAATTAAATACAAATTAAATTTGTTTAACCTCAGACCAAGCACCATGAGATCTGCTCTTCTATAAAAATGCTGATCATGATGGGTCCACAGGCAGGTTAAGTTTGGACATCTGGCTTCCCTCAGAATGGACTTCACTTAGGGCAGGTACAGTGAGGGATCTGCATGTTCATGTTATTAAACATAAAGAATTCTGACCAGAACAAGGGTGTCCACAGCGGCTGCTAACTCACCAACTGAGAAACGTAGGAAATTGTCGAGTTACCCATGCCATGAGCTGTTATGCCCACTTCTGGGCCATGCCCCTCCTTCCCCAAAGCTAGGCCACCCTAGAGAATGTGACATTAGAAGAAAGCTCCATTCTTGGAAAAGCACAGCAGCCCAGAACCATTGGATAGAGGCTGAACACTCTATAACCTTAGTTTGAGTTTAGTCAAGTGTGACCAGCATCCCAACTAGTACTTCTCAGTATGAAATTGCTACATAATAAGAAATCAGACTTAATAATGTCTATAGTTGCAATTTTATGATTTAGCTCAAAAAATAATGTCCATCATGATGAGATGTTCTGTAAGTTGAGAATGTCCTTTGATATCACTGACTTTAAACAAAGTTCTAGCCAGGCGTGGTGGCTCATGCCTGTAATCCCAGTACTTTGGGAGACAGAGGTGAGAGGATTGCCTAAGCCCAGGGGTTCAAGACCAGCTTGGGCAACTTGCCAAAATCTCAACTCTACAGTAAAATTAAAAAATTAGCCAGGCATGGTGGCGCACTCCTGTGGTTCCAGCTACTTGGAAGGCTGAGGTGGAAGGATTGCCTGATCCCAGCAGGCTGAGGCTGCAGTGGCCATGAGCATGTCACTGCATTCCAGCCTTGGCAACAGAGTGAGACTCCAACGCAACAAACAAACAAACAAACAAACAAAAGTTCTGTAGTCATCATTTCAATGAGCCGCCAATGTGTTTTAAGTTTTCCTTGAAGGCCAATTAAAAAATGAAAATTTCACTTTGGTAAGGTATTAAATGTTGAACTCTGTTTAGAAAGTATACAACAAAGCCATTTAGAACTAAGAAAGTGTGAGTGGAGCAAGAGAAGTGGTAAGATCCCTCAAAGATCAACCTTCTGCAGCCACCAGAGATGTCCGTTCCCCAAAAGCATTAAATACAAGCAACTGCCACAGAAATTAGGGCTGTGGGACACTCCCACAAGGCTAAGACATGATGTGAAGTGTGAGGGAGTATGAGGGAAAGGCATTCCACTTTTCAAGAAACACCTTCTTAAAAGTCAAGTCTGAAACATACACGTGAGAAATCAGGGACTGATTTGTGTCCACCCTCAACCCCATATTCAAACGTTGAAGTCCCACCTCCCATGTACTGGAGATAGGGCCCTGATGTGACTATATTTGGAGGGGGTCCCTGATCTGCTAGGGCTGGTGTCTTCATAAGAAGAGGAAGAGACATCAGAGCGCTCTCTCATTGTGCATGCACAGAGAAAGCCAGGTGAGGTTATATTAATAAGAGAAGGTGGCCGGAAGGCAAGCCAGGAAGAGAGTCCTCACCAGAAACCGAACTGTCTGGCAGTTGATCCTGGACTTCCAGCCTCCAGAACTGCGAGAACATAAAGGTCTGGGCTTTTTGTTATGGCAGTCCAAACAGACCACGGTACTCGGATCGTAGGCTTTAAAATGATAGGACTCAGTGGAAGCTTGAGGCTTTAATCTTTCTCATACAATGGAAGTCAAATTGACCACAAAAAATAATAAGATTTTCAAAAACCTTCAGTACCTTTTAGTATTTCATTGTCAACTTAAAGAAATTATTTTCCAACACTGGACAGTCAATAAACACACAAGAGTCATCTCCTCTTTGTCCTTTCCTGGATATATTAATAGGGCAGAATCCAAATAAAGTTTTATTACATAAAAATTGCAGTCAATTCCGTCTGTCAATTCACCTTAATGGTGGACTGGAGGTTAGGCAAGAGTTGGAGATTAGGTCCACAATGAAAGCCACCCGAGAGAAGGTGGACTTAGGCTGTATTGGAGTTCCGACCTCACCTATGTTTCAAAGAGTGGAATGCAACGAAACACAACATGGCCCTAGCATGGTAGTACAGCCTTTGTCACTTTCATTCTCGAGGCCTAATGTAACCGACGAATACGAAGACAGGTGACAACGTCCCAAAAGTTACCTCTGTCATTTTCACGAAAGCCGAACAATCACTCACTACATTTTGATGAGTGATCAGTGCTCCTTTTGGGTTGCCTGTGGAGGGTGATGAAACTCTGTTAAAGAGTGACAGGAAAAGGGAAGTCTGGAGACCCCGTACACTTAGGGCCTCAAATACCGCTATTGCTAGATATACCTGTGAAAGCCAAAAGCTGAGCAACACTAAATTCCCGAGCAACTTGCAATCCTTTCATTGACTTATCTTACAACTATCTTAAACAATCTTTATTAATATGGGTAAATTATAGAGGGTATATGTAGCAATAAGAGGAGAAAAACTAGAGATTTTCAGCCCGGGAGACAATGATATAGTTCCCTAGAAAGATGGGTAAATCTAATGTCACCTTCAATAAATATTTGAGGAAACCTATGGCACTCTCAGATTCTGAGAATATCTTGCAGAGCAGCAAGAAGATAGCACTTGAATCGCTTCCATCTCTTCTGCTTTCAGGCCATCTACAGTTAGTCAGCGTCATCCAAAAAAGGGGAAGGAGGCTACAGGATTCCAGACACCATGCACAGAAGCAAGTCTATTTCAAAACTCACCTGTAGTTCCACTTGTGAAACAAACTACCGCAAGATCTTCAGGTGCTGGAGGCTAAAGATTGAAAAAAGAAGAAGAAGAAAAGAAAAGCTAATATAAATGAAAATAGAAAAGAGAACCATAAGCCATAGGTACCACCCAAGATTTCTACTGGCCTCCAATCCAACAGGGCTAGATGGTGAAAACTGCAGAGAGCTAGCTGGTTCTGACACAGTGTGCTTACCTTGGGCTTCCGCCTGTTGGCTCTTCCCAGATCCTTAATTAGAAGAGAGAGTAAAAAAAAAAAGTTAAATGGAAACATTTTCTAACTGTAAAGAATAGGATGACATCAGGTCACTTAAAGCTGACTTTACTGAGTGGTTCACTCACAGCTGGCTCAAACATGGCATAATTTTCAAATTAAGTGAACTTACAGCTTTAATGAATGAGAATCAGTATATTTATTCATTATTCTAAGAAGCCAGTGTCCTGTTATCTCCTTTTGTATATACAACTGTATACAAGACTTTGAAACAGTATTTATTCAAAAGACAACAAAGTCTTTTACAATGTATTTCTGTGCCCCACTCCACTTCCTATTAGGGCCTTTAACAACCATAACTAGATACTGTGAATATGCGGCTCGGTCTCCACATCAGAGCACGGTACCGCCTAATCACCCAGAGCTCTGTGTCACTGGCATCTGTAATCTGGGGAGAAAAATCAATCTCTGCCAGATTCAAATGCCAGCCATTTTGGAGAGATGTAGAGCAGAGAAAGGACTTGAGCGCCTTTATTTATAAAACAAACCACAACAGAGGACTCAAGACTACTTCCTAAAGCCCATAAAGGTTAAGAATGCTACATTCACTTCCGAGGAGCAGCAGTTCCCAGTCACAGGCTTCCAGCCACCACCACTAGTGTGGTTCTGTTTACTGCATTAGGGCAGTCTTGGTGGTCGCTTTAATAATTATTAATTTTTAAAAGTTAACTATTTATATTCTCTTCCTAATAAATTTGAACAGCTTGAATGAGCATATGGAATGAACATACCTATAATTAGATGGAAATTAGATGGGTGTGCTCAGGGCTCAGTGAGTTTCTGCCTAGCACACAGTTTTAAACCATTTTTAATCTTAATCACATTTTAAATTACATATATGACAGACCACTGATTAAAAACAGGAACACTAAACTCCAATTAGAAGTCAGCTAAGAGCTAAAGCATTGATACATCTGCACCTTTTTTTTCTTCAAAATAACCTTTTTTATTAGCTCCAAATTTCTACTCATATATAACTTTGGAAGATTTCTAGTTTTTCAAAAATTGATGTTAAATAAACTAAAGCAGTAGTTACACACAATTTGGCTTTTAATTAATGGGGAACAAACATCATCTAAATTAGAGTACTATTTGCCATGAAAGTTTCACAACCTTAAGTCTGTCTTATGTCATCATTTAGAAAAAATACAATTATTTTTTTTAATTGCCATCTTTATGTTCCACATAAACTCATACACAAAAACTGATTTCTAGTTAATAATAAACACATGGAAGCATTTGGGGTAATCAAATCTGCAACTCACTGAAAATGGATTAAAAAATAAGATGAACTGGTGAATGGAGGGACAGAGTAAGAGGTTAATATGTGATAAAGGAAATATATTAAAAGGTTCATTGCAGATTCTTGGTGGTGGGTATATAGCTATCTGCTGTATAATTCTTTTTTTTTTTTTTGAGTTGGAGTCTCACTCTGTCGCCCAGACTGGAGTGCAGTGGCCGTTCCTGGCCACCGCAGCCTCGACCTGCTGGGCTCCGGCGATCCTTCCGCCTCAGCCTTCCGAGTAGTTGGAACTATAGGCGCGCGCTACCATGCCCGGCTGATGTTTTGATTTATTGTAGCGATGAGGTCTTGTCAAGTTGCCCAGGCAGGTCTCGAACCCGCGGGCTCAAGCAATCCACTCATCTCGGCCTCCCCAAGTGCTGGGATTACAGGATAAGCCACTAAGCCCGGCCTGCTGTATAATTCTTTAAAATGTTTGTGTGTTTGAAAATTTTTATAATTAAAATATTGAAACAATGCAAACATTACAAATACCAATGTTTCTATTTTTGATCCTGTAAGGATATATTTATATAAACTTGATCACAACCGTAATACTAATTTTAAACGCATTCCTTCAGACCTTCATCTTTTGCTCACAAAACTGTAAAAACTAAGTATGAATCATCTTAAGCAAGTAAGTTGTAAAACAATGTCTTTTATAAATTAAGATTTTAATATACACTTTGTATTACAATCTTCAATCATTTACTCACGTAAGTGATTTTTTAATTTTAAAACTATTTCTTTATCCTACGGCAGTCAAAAAAGACAAAAAAAATTCCTCTGGGCGTGTTTGTGTGTGTGTGTGTGTGTGTGTGTGTGTGTGTGTGTGTGTGTGTGCGCGCGCGCGCGCGCATGCGTGCACGCGTGTACATGTGTGTGTGTCTATCTGTTGGGGGGAGGGAAGAAGAAGGAAAGATGGGGTAAAAGATGACATTATTGTGAAAGGAGATTACAAGTAACAAAACAAAAGTGGGGAAATGCTAGGCACAAAGCTAGCTAAAACCCAATTTAACAATGAAGCACACCCATTAATGTTCATGGGACCATGTATACTGTGCATGTGTGTACGTGAGATAGAAGGTTCTGTTAGAACAAATGGCAGTTTCTCTATGACAGCTAGGTTCCTTGGGAAAGGGTCCACAGAGCCTTACTTGTAGCCTCAAATTCTCTGTAGGAAGAGCTATCTATAACAGTTGCAGAAAAATATTTATAACACCTTCAGAATCAGAATGACTTACTCTACTTAACCTATTTCTTCCTACGATGTGCACATCCAAAGATCCTCCTCTTGCTGGCTGCTTTCTTGGATTGAACCCTAATCCAAGTCCACCTGAGGGGATCAGCTTCTTATATCATTTGATATCAAACAGCCAATGCAAATATGGCCCACACTTATTTTCCTAGAATGGTTACCTCTAAAGTTGTGATTAATGTGAATCAAATTTAATATGAAAACAAACCAAATCAAACATGTACACTAGGAATTCACTAGGACTCTATAAAGGCAGCCTGGGAAAATGAATAAGGAGACAGATTTCTATATATGGTTCGGTTTTACAGACAAATCAGTAAGTAAAAGACATTAAAGCCTAAAGAGGACATATAAACTTAAATTTCTATCTGCCAGAAGCTGAAATTTACATTTCTGGCACTTACTGGCAAGGTTTGTCAGAGCTCTGGAATACACATGTGTGCACCACAATTCACTTAATGAGAAGCACTTCTGCAAGAGGTGATGTGTTAACATCCAGCGCACATGGAAATCTTCTTTCCAGTTATAGGACAAGATTTCTGCTTTCTATCTTTTATGGGTTGCCTAGCTAACCAGCCAGTGTTGGAACTGCAGGATGGCACTGGATGCCACATTTGAGTCCAAATGGCCCCAGGGCAACCCTTCAGAATGGCTCACCTCCAACGCCTTCATGCTGATGATCTCCACCCCAGTCTTCTTGCCTCGTTCCACCAGCTCACTGCCGTAGGCATCCATGAGAACTATGACTTTAAGGCCTGGTGTTAACTTATTTTCTACACCCTCTAATAAGAGTTTGGCCTTCTCTGGCTTGTCAACAAAAATCAGAGAGAGCTCAGCTGTGAACAAAGAGATACAATGAAGAATAAACTTTGGGATGTTAAAAGCTCGACTATCATATTGACACCAGGATATTCCAAGTATTACATTCTTTAGATAAAAAGGTAGATATATACAGTTAAATCCCCATCAAATCAAATATAAGCAAATGTAAAGTCACTGAAACTAGCCAATAACTAGGCCCATGTCCAGGCAAAGATCACAGACGTACCTTTGTTGACTATGTACGTGATAGCTTCGGTCCCTAGAGTATCATACAGTGGAACGACCACCATTGAATAAGCAAAGCATCCCTGTTCAATAATCACCCACTAAGAAAACAGAAGGGGTTGGGGAGAGAAAACTAGATGTCATAATGGAATCAATCCAAGAAGAACAATAAGAGAGATTCAAGTGAAAACATTTGATGTACCAAAATTCATATTTGTATATCTACTATTCTGTGCCAGGTGCCATGAGAGATTCCAAATGGGAACAAAACACTTACCTACTTATCAAAAAGAAATTAAGATGCCTAAGAATTGAGACAAAGATGTGAAAAGATACTTAGCAATATAAGATAGCAACCAAGGAACTCAGATGGGAGAGCCCACCAGGGGCCACGGTGGCTGCAGATGCCTTGGGGGGAGAGGTAAGTGAGATGCTCTTTGCAAGAGAAGCACAACTGGGGTGGGGAGGAGATAGAGAAAGAGAGAGAGGAGGGAGGAAGGGAAGGAGGGAAGAGAGTGGGTAGAGAGAGAAGGAGAAGGGAGAGGAAGGAGAAAGGAAGGGGGGAGTCAGAGGAAAGAGACAGACAGACACACACACACACACAGAGAGAGAGAGAGAGAGAGAGAGAGAGAGAGAGAGAGGGAGAGAGAGAGAGAGAGAGAGATAGGTGGGAGGCACAAGGACATTCCAACAGAGGGAACTGCAGGATCAAAAGCAGGGAGGAAGCCAGAGAGCAACTGGCCGGCATGCGTGGCTCCAGCTGGAAAGTGGGGAACAGTCACTGAAGGTCTCCAGGCAAGTCAGCGGTTGGGGGCTTTGCGGAAGGTCAGTCTGGTGGCAGGGCACCATATGGCCTGGGGGTAGGGAAGGAGGTAACTTACGCGACTAACAGGAAAACTGTCTGAGTAATCTCTCCCCAGCAGGGTGACAGAGCCAAGAAGTGGTATGGTACGTGGACACCTTGCCACGCAGCCACTGGCCCATGACAAGGAACTGTGGCAAGCTCTCTCTTTCGCTCCTGATCCCTCAGGGGCGCCCCATGGCCTCTAGCTGTGCCACTTCTCTAGTGAAGTCATCTGTAGGCCAGACTCTGGAACAGGGAGCACAACCCACTCACACTCACTTGGCCTGGAACTGGGTTCCCTGTTTTGGCTTCATGGGAGGGATTTCGAGCGACCAACACAGGTCCAAGCTCAGTCGCAGGCGTGTGAGATGCAGAAGGCCCGCCCCCTCCTTCCACTCCACACTCCGCCACATGAAGATGCTTCGTATTCAGACACAGACATGCTGTTTGGTATGAACATGTGGTTGCTCTTGGCATTCCCTTGGCCTTCCCACTCTTATTTCCTTTAAGACTATACTCAGGGACCACCTCCAGGAAGCCCTCCTTAATCCTTGTCTGAGCTCCCATAATCCTTCTGCCCTGCATCTACATTTAACACATCACAGAGAAAGCTTCAACTTTTGGGTCTGTCTTTCCTTATGTGGTACCTCAGGAAGAAGGTCTGAGTCACTGTGTGCTTTGGTAACTTGTACAGTGTCTGGCATACAGTATATACTCAAGAAACAACTACTGAATTAACACACATAAGAAAGAATCTGCTTCTCAAAGTAAGAAATACATTTTGCAGTTCTAGATTCATAACATTCCACTAAAACAAAGATTAGGGATGGGTTCATTTGGAATGAAAGAAATTAAACTCCACGACCCAGTCATCATCATGGGAAACATTGTTTTCCCCTTAGCAAAACATAAAATTCGAAGAGGCCATCCTAATTTCTAAAAGTCGGTAGCACAGGCATTTAGCCAGCATGTCTTCTAGACACAAGTTGATGGGAGAATGAATTCTTTCTCCAAGTTACATGCTTGCATTTTTCCATGCCAGCGATCTGCTGACTGATACCACAAGCAATACCCCCCAAAGGTGTATTGCTGCTCCTTTAAATTCACTCCTATGCACTGGTTTATGGAAGCACATGCTGAGCTCAAACTCAGCCAAACTCAGACTGTCTAAAAACTTTGTAACCCAGCCAGAGGGGAAGCCTCATACTTTTCAAGAAGAAAAGAAGAGAGTCTGCTATTAACAAAAATGTGTCTAAGTTTCTATTAGTGTTATTTTTCTAATCATAAAGGTGGCCCTTAAAGTGAAAAGACTTCTTTGTTTTTATTTGTTCTAAGGATTTTGTTTGAGAATCTGGTTTAACAAAACTAAAACTAAAACCAAAAAAAAAAAAAAAAAAAAAAGAAGAAATTTTTTTTCTCTTAAAGGTTAAGACAGTCCAGGTTTTCAAGCATGTAACTCTCTAAGGTATAACACAAAATCATAATCTCAGTAGAAAGCAACCCTAAGATCTAGTCTCAAGCAGAAGTTAGGTATAAACGCTGGCCCTTATAACTGAGACCTCTCAAAACCACGTTCAGCAAGTCCTACTGGTTCTTACCTCAGGTCTATTTTGAGCAAAGATGCCAATGAACTGATCCGGGGCAGCCTTGAAGCCCTTCTGGATCAGCGCTGAGCCTATGCACTCGGACAGCTCTGCAACCTAAAATGGAGAGGAAAATCAGAAACAGCATCCGGCCCTACTTCTGGAAACAAAGCTCACCAGACGACAGACTAGTATCTTAGCCAGCAATCAGTGCTGCATGGAGAAGGGCAGAAGGAACACACAGATATTCCTTTACTTATACATTTTTGTAAAATGCAAGGTTGTATTCGCAGGAACTCAGCACTAAAGGAACTGATCATGGGGTTCCTTGTGCAAAGCAAGTCCACCTCCTCCCAACAGCTGCAGGTCACAGAGGAGTATATGTCAGGACTTCTTACATGTTTCTATTTTCCATTTTAGTTGTCTAAAATTATAAAAGTAACATCGAGTCATCTCTTTTTTTTTTTTTTTCTATTTATAAAGACCAGCAAAGAAGTCAAAATTGTCATTTGGTATAAACACAGAAACAGCAAGTTTTTGAGAGACCTTTAAAAAAAATGAACAAGCTCTACAATTCTATTATTGAGGATTTACTGAGGAAACAATTCAACCTCAGAAGGAGTTTCAAAAGACCTATATACAAATATATACATATGTTCCCAAATTATCTAAAGTCAAAAATCAATTATCCAAAGTCAAAAACTAAAAAAAAAAATTTTTTTGAATTGAGGTCTCACTCTGTCACCCAGGTTGGAGTGCAGTGACACAGTCCACCACAGTCTCAAACTTCTGGGTTAAAGCAATTCTTCCACCTCAGCCTCCTGAGCAGGTGGGACTACAGGTGTGGGCCACCATGTCCAGCTAATTTTTTGATTTTTTGTAGAGATGAGGTCTCGCTATGTTGCCCAGGCTGGCCTCAACTCCTGGGGTCAAGCAATCTTCCTGCCTTGGCCTCCCAAAGTGCTGGGATTACAGATATAAGCCACTGTGCCTGACCTAAAAATTTTTAATCTTAAACTTTGGAGTTCTTTTCTTTATTTTTAGTTGCTGAAATCACAAGAGTACTCTTAAAGCACACCCTAGGCAATAAAGCCATGTCCATCTCTAACCTGGAACACCACTGGTTCTGGTGCTTGGCATTATCCTGGCCTGACCTATGGAGAACAGAATGACCCTGGCAAGGGGACGGCGGGATGACACAGACAGGCTTATTACCCTCTACTCCATGAACTATTTCACAGCTCTTGGTTTCATTTACGAGATCAGAACCTGAAAAATGTCTGCAATTGTTTCCAGAGTTTATTGGCTAATTACGCCTACATTCATATTTCTTTCTTCCTTTCTTTTTTTTTTTTTTGAGTCAGAGTCTCACTCTGTTGCCCAGGCTAGAGCGCAGTGGTATGCTCATGGCCACTCTAGCGTCAACCTGCTGAGCTCAGGCGCTCCTTCCACCTCAGCCTTCCAAGTAACCGGAACTATAGGTACGCGCTACCATGCCTGGATAATTTTTTGGTATATGGTAGAGACAAAATCTCACCAAGTTGCCCAGGCTAGTCTCAAACCCCTGGGCTCAGGCAATCCTCTCACCTCGGCCTCCCAAAGTACTGGGATTACAGGTTGAGCCACCATGTCTGACCTCTTTTTTTTGAGTTGGCGTCTCACTCTGTCACCCAGGATGTAGTGCAGTGGCATGCTCACTGTCACCGCAGCCTCAACTTGCTGGGCTCAGGTGATCCTTCCACCTCAGCCTTCTAAGCAGCTGGAACTACAGACATGTGCCACCATGCCCAGCTCATTTTTTTTTTCTTTATTGTAGAGGCAAGTTCTCACCATGTTGCCCAGGCTGGTCTCGAACCCATGGGCTCAGGCAATCCTCTCACCTCTGCCTCCCAAAGTGCTGGAATTATAGGTGTGAGCCACCGCACCTGGCTACATCCTTCATATTTCTATTAAGATAGTTCATACCTTTCTTGAAAAAAACTCAAAGGGATTCCTAGCCCCCTAAAAGGTCAGATTCATTGGGCAAGTAATGAAGGAGGATGGCGCCAGTGAGACTCAACACCCTTTGAGGCCAAGAGATTTATTAGAGCAGCAGCTACAGCCAGAGGGAAGAAGGTCTGTAATCTCCTGGTACTGAAGGGGGAGTGAGAGAGCGAGGGCGAGAGAGGTCTCTATTTATTGATTTGGGAGGGGGGCCGCAGTGCTCTATCGGAGCCTGGCAGTGCCAGCTTAGGTTCTTTATTGGAGGGAGCGATGAGGTAGTATTCCTATAGGGAGATAATATTTGTGTAGAGGTTTAAGTTTCGCGCGCGTGGGAAGACCAGGAATTTAGGGCCTTTGTTGTCTTTGTTAGGTTGCATATAGTGTTTTAGTGCCATCTCGGGAGATGCCCTTCTGACTGTTCCCTGTGCCTTTCAAGTAAAGATAAAAAATGACTTAAATGTGAAATCCAAAGTTGAATTAAGTAAGTCTAGTTTTATATATTCACCCACCCCCGATTGAAACATATAAATCATAGATTCACACCTTCAGAAATCCCAGTGATTTTTAACCTGCCTTGAAAACTCCAATCTGCAATGGATGTGACTTCACTTTTCCAATCAATAAACACCAGAAGTAAGTCAGAAAGCACCTGAGGATCCGTGAGGTCTTGAGACCATCATGCAATGCTATGTGCCTAATACATATCAACTGTGTTTACACCACATGTGAAAACGGGGAATCTGGGGGACTGCTATTGGGCTTTGGTAGGGCAAAATAAAACAGGGAACCCCCTGTGGCCACCTGAGCTACAGCTCATTGCCCATTTTACAGGTGAGATACGATAAGTCACTTCACTTTTTCACTCTCTTGAGAGAGAGACAAATGCCCTTCAGCAGAGCCTTCTGTGTTCTGTGGACCCAGGAGGATGGAAAGGAAGAAAACGTGTGTTGACCCAAGAAGAAGCAACAAGCACTACTGTGGCTCTGTCACTCCAGACACCAACTCTCTCCACAGACACGTCCCAATGCCCAGGCTACCAAACACACCTTTTCCACAAAACACAGAGGGAGGAAGCTCATCCGTGTTCATGAATGCTATAGGATCACCAGCCCCTAAAGCAGGGAAAAGGGCAGCTGGGGGCTGGGAGCCTTTCCAGGACAGTGACGCTGGAAACAGGGAGCAGTGAAGCAAAGCTAGCATGTCCAGTTGCACCTGCCTGTCCTTGGGGTGCTGCTTGGACTGGGGAAAGTGGTGGCATCTAGACTCACAATCATGATAAAAGTTAAGTGAAAATCAATGTCGTCTTGCACTGCTGTGTGCCAGTCAAAAACTGCTAGTTAAATAGTTGCAGCCACTGCTGGGTGGGGACTAGAGGGTAATACGGTCACCATATCTAGTTAGCACCTTCCCCTGTGTTGATGCAGTAAGACGGTGTCCTCCCTGTGCTCTTCCCTACGGCTGCCCTGGGATTAAGCAATCCTCCCACCTCGGCCTCCCAAAGTGCTGGGATTATAGGTGGAAGCCACTGTGCCCAGCCTAAAAGTTTCTCATGGGCAGTAAAAGTTGGCCAAGGACAGCTCTGAGGATTAGTAGGATGTGCTAGAAGAGCCTCACATAAGATGGCTGCAGATCTCACTTCTGGTTCTGGCTCTGCTGCAAACCAGCTGTGAACTTTTCCTGGGGCATGTTTTCCTCAGCTATAAAATGAGAGAGAGACCCTACTGTGGCTTCCAAGTTTCCCCACTACCCCTCAGGCAGAGAGGAGTAATTCTATCAAGCCAAGGGGACTGACAGAGGAACCACTTGCTTCAAACAGTTTCTAGAATTCTATCTTAAAAATTACACTCGACTTCACAATGTTTTAAATCAGTTTTAAAATAAAGTGCTTTGAATGGTCAGTTACATTACTCCATTCCTTCTCTCGGAATCTTTGTGTCAAGTTTTTCCATGTCTATGGCAACACTCCAAGTCGGTCCAGCACACACACTTTGTAGACGCCTTCTTACCCAATATCCAAGTGCTCCAAAAACGAACGTGCAGATACACTGCTGCTTGTATAAGCAGGCCACAGAGCCTGACAACTCACCTGTTTGTATGAAAGCCACTCATAGGGTTGGTCTGGTTTCCGAGAGCCTAAACAAGGGCCATTATCTAAAAAAAGAAAAAACAGTGCACGGGTTTGGCATGTATAAATATTCCTAGATTTTCATTTGTCTCCTGCCTCATTCTACGAAGTCTCATTCAGGTAGACTTCACTTTAGTCCTCAGATTAGAAATGATGAGTTCAGACTGGACATGTTTTCTTCTCGGGCTTCTGTCTTTTTGTTTGCGTGTTTATTTCTGTTTTGTTTCTTAAATGGGGCAGGAGAGGGGTATAGAGAGAGGGGGAAAAGGCAAATACAATTTTTAAGGACACTTCACTTGTGAATTCCTCTCTAATGCTCCTTCGGCTTACAGCAGGAGCCAGGATATGAATGGTAAAAGAGATCCTGCTGCAGGTTTTCAGGAGAGGTGTCCCTCAAAATTTCTAAAGAAGCTTAGCATTCTAACTCAGAGTGTGAAAAGGAAGATGTAATTCTGTGCCCAAATTCCGATGGCAAAGATCACAAGAATTACCTGAAATCCCAGTGACGTGGGTGAAATTGTGATGGCAGAGAAGTAAACATGAAGAGAACATGCAAAATGAAGGGCAGTAAGGGGGCATTTGTGAAAACAAAAGCTATGAAACATCGAGATGTGTCCTGATTCCAACTTAGGCTCCAGAGAAGCAGAAAGAGACCAAACACATCTGGCTTCACAGTATCTGGTCTTAGTGTTGGTGAAAGGATTCTGATGTTGTGTGAGGACCTGTGAAGTAGGAAGGAAGGCAGGGCCTGGCCCCACCTGGTGCCACACAGGTATGGGTCCACCACAGATTTCTGCCCCAGAAAACAGAAGTGTGATGCCCGTGCAGGTTCCAGAATCAGTCATGCAGGTGGGAAGGACACAGGCAGGACACACTGACTGCTTTGCTATCCCTAAAAACAGTCCTGATGAAGAAAGAACCTTCATCTCAGACCCTCTCCGATTACAAGGACAAGAGAGTACAAGATAAGTCCAAACGGCCGGGCACAGTGGCTCATGCCTGTAATCCTAACACTTTGAGAGGCTGAGGTGAGAGGAGTACTTGAGCTCAGGAGTTCAAGACCAGCCTGGGCAACATAGCAAGACCACCTCTCTCTAAAAAAAAAAAAAAAAGTCCAATCAGATGTTTTCAGATAGAAAAGAATAAAATGACATTAGCTATATGAAATATTGCTGTTTAATTCCTCAAAAACAGACGCTGGCAAACTACACCCAAATCAGGCCCTCTGCCTGTTTTTGTAAGTACAGCGTTACTGGAACACAGTTACACACAGTCTTAGGCTGCAGGTGAGTAGCTGCAATCGAAACCATGTGGCCCTAAAAGATGTACTATCTGCCCTTTTACAGAAAAAGTATGCTGACTCCAGCTCTAGAACAGTGGTAATTAAGCCTCAGCCTCACCTGGGGAACTTTAATAATGTCCTGTACCCAAGCTCTACTAATACAATTTTTGGTACAATTGGATGGGGATGGAACCTGGGCCCCGGTATGTTTTAAATCTCCCATGGTGGTACTATAGCACAGCTAGGCATGAAAGCCACTGAGAAACAGGGAACTCAAACTCTATCAGCGGTTTCCTCGTGCAGTTTTAAGATGCAGGAAGTCCCCAGTATATGAAGGAGTTCTTCTGAGAGCACACTTGGAAGCTCAGGTGATCCTTCCACCTCAGCTCAGGTGATCCTTTTGTTTGAAGTCTAACAAAGTTAGCCTAGGTACCCAACTAACACAACCAGCTTTATAGTACTGTATGCATTTAACAGGCTATACTAACACTTGGTGGAAAGAAATAATATGTAAAAAAAGCAGATGTGCATCATTAAAGTTCATAACTTGAAGGTTTGTATGAAGGGACTTAGTGTACTAGGTTTAAAATTTTAGGCTGGCTTCCATCATGAACTTCTAACTATCTTATCCAGATGCTGGGTTTTGCTCTTCTATTAAAGTTTAATTCTGAGGTAGCCTAAGAAAATCAAAGCTTGGGGAAAAAAGCTCCTCTGGAAAAAAAAGAAACAAATGGTGACCTGCAAAACAGCTCCCTTTGTCTAGACAAAGAAGATTGAATTTTCCTTCACCTTCTCTGAAACACACATACCAGAGCCTTCATTTCCCAAATAGAGCAACTGACTGGAAAAAAAGTTACATGATTTTCCGAAGATCAGGAGAGAGTCAAAAGTATAATTCGTGCCACTATACTCCTAGAAAAATCCCACCCATTGCTAACAATGAAAAAATGTGTATACATTGATATATGTACAGAAGGCTCTGGAAGACCGTCCTTCCACTTGCATGCTCTCCCCATGTCTGTGTGGGTAAGCTCCAGGCACTCCAGGTTCCTGCTACATCCCAAAGCAGTGCCTGTGAGGTTCACTGGTGTGTCCTCCTGATCCCAGTGTGGAGAGGTATGGGTAAGTTGCTCTGTGATGGGGGTGTCCTGGCCAGGGTAGTCCCTGCCCGGCACCCTGAGCTGCAGGGATGGGCTTCAGTCACTGTGACCCTGAACTGCAATAAGTGAGTAAGTCATGATCTTACTTGCTTGGACTAATCTTTCTTGAATGTGCAAATAGTTCACATTCATGTCAATGTTTAATATTAGAAGTGTCCTGGTCTTTAGAAGTTTGGCAATGTTTTTGCATTGTAAATATGCTGCAGGAAGTTAAACTAGCCCGTGGGAATGTTGTTTTTGTTGTGCATTGTTTTACTTCAGGTTGCAGTTTCTGAGAACCTACCAGTGACATTCAATGAGGACTTCCCATATACATGTTTTGTGGCAGTAGTAAAGAACACACACACACATACATACTCCTTCGTGAGCCTTACGTTAGGCTGTTCCACTTTATGGACATCACTATTACAGACAAACCCCGACTTTGACACTAACTTTGAAATAAATACTAGACAAATAAGTCTGCTTTCCCTTTACAGTGGAGCTAAATGACCCTGCTATGGGAATACTGGTGCAAGCACACTGAGCTGAGATATCCAATTTTACCAGTGACAAGTAAAAAACAGCAGGCACTTGTTAAACTCAGATTACATGCAACATATCATGGGGGATAGAGGAAGCAATACCACAGGGTCCCTGACCATAAGGAGACAAAATCTAGCTAGTGCTAACCACCAAAGGATTTAAAGAACAAAACATGGATTCCAGAAGCCACCTCTAGAGAAGAAGCTGGTATAAGCAAAAATGAAGTGGCTAAAACAAAAAGCGGGGTGGTGGAAACAGAGGGCGTTCCCTCCTTTACTGAAGACGCATTAATGGGGTGCCGACTGTGTGCCACGGACCGTGTCGATACCATGAGAAGAGTTGACCGATGGCCACCCTGTTCTCAAGGAGCTCGGCCAGAGGGGCAGAATGCCAGGTGATCACCTCTGTGCCATCAGCATCACGCAGAAAGTTATGGGAAGGAGAGAGATGCTTAACTGGGAGGTAGAGGATGAAAGTGACAGACTGGAAAGGCTTCAGAGAAAAGGTGAAATGCAACGAGTTTTAAAAAATTAGTAAGAATACATCAAGCACACAGGCTGGAGGTGGAAAGAAATTTTATAATCAAGAAAAAAATGTACACAGAGACTTTGGGTTGGGGGATAGTCGGGGTGGTCATGGCTTCGCAGGAAGTTCAGTGTGACCCGAGGGGCATATACGAGGTCTGGGAAGGACAGAGGCTGGAAAAGAGGCAGGGCCGCCTATCATGGGGTCTCTTCCGGCACAGATAATAATTCAGGGTGCTCTTGTGAGTCAACATTTCCAAAGTGTCCCTGACAGAATGCTGTCCCCTTGGGGTATCAGGATTTCTTTGTTATAGCCTGGGTCTCGTGGGCAAGTAAGCTTGAAAAATGCTGCACTGGGTCCAGCTGAACAGGTCTCTTTACTGCAGAAAACATCCGAGCCCTCATGAGCTCATGCACACATGACTCACCATAAAGCCAGGACATGCTGGAAATACCTTTGACACTGGAGCCCCCTGGGCCACAGGGAACATCCTGAGGGTCTAGTGAGCTTTGGGATTGACTCTGGGAAAGGTACAGGTGGGGACAGAGAGGCTTGAGCCACATTAAGGAGACTACTAAGTCCACTCTTTCCTAATAAAAAACAGTAAGCATTAGTCAGGCAAATGTGATCAGATGCTTACTTGACACCTGTATACCCCTCTGGAAACCTTCGTATAATGTTCTGACATCATCATAGAAATACACCAAGGGCTCATCACCATCAAGTAGTGTGGATCTTCGAGCACCATCACTACCCTACGGAAAAAGACAGAGGAGCACGTTAGAGGGAAATGCCAAAAATGCAAAGCCTACAACATGATGTTTTCATATATGTAAACGTCATGGAATGACTGAACTTCACGTGCCTGTGTGGTCTCCCGCCACCCCCTCCAGGGCCCTGTGGAAGAGCAGCTCAAGTGTTGAACGAATAAGCACAGGACTTGCTGATGTGCTAACAGAAGTCAATCATTCACCTGGAGGTAAGCACAGACTTCAGAGAAACAAGGCTAAGACAGCATGTCTGTCAAGAGGATCCTTGGGAAAAGGAAGCAACTGAAGAAGAGAAGAAGGTCACAGACCTACAAGCCCTGGTCTAGCAAACAAGGCTGAAGAGGGTAAGAGGAGAAACCGCCACAACCACACACACTGCCATCCACAGCACAGAGGACGGACTGACCCTGTTCAGCTCTGGCAGAAACAACACACTACCTGATTTCACTTCTAAAATCTTATCTACATTCTATTTGGGATTATTTCCCCACCAAGTGCCACGTAATCTGTGGTGCCAGAGTCTTATACAGCCTCTTGTACAGCTGATGAGCTAAAAGACATGCGGATGCACAGACACGGGTCTTTACTAGTTTCGTCTGCAACGTTTATGGGTGTGCAAATTTGATGTTGCTATGTGCCTTCCTCCAAGCTGTCTTTGCCTGTGGGCTTTGCAAGTACACCCACGATGCATGAGAACTCCCATAGCCATGGATAAGACGGCAGGTCCTCGCCTTCCACAGTAGCAGTAGTAACTCTCCACTGTGAGCTGCTGAGCCCTCTGAGGCCACAGAAACATGGTAACAGGTCCAGATAGTTACAGGAATCCCAAAAGCATTCTTGAGAGATTGATATAATAAATAGCTCTGCCACTATGAGGATACAGCCTACAATGTTTAAGAAAGAAAAATTCAGAGAAGGGCCTTCACTTTTGCAATGGTCAGGAAGCTCTTGAGACATCAGGCCATGACTGGTACCATAAAGGCTGTCCAAAAGTGGAAGAGATCTGGCTTAGATGTGAAGAAAGAACACAGGAAAGGTTCTGAGGGAAAGAGCTAGGTTTCCACGGGTAAACTGTCTATGCAAACAGAGCTGATGGGATTCCAGGGGAAGAACTGATGTGGAAACTCTTAGTAAGGTACTGACTGCCAGATCAGTTTTATTGCATTCTTCTAATTATCTACTCCTCTTCCTACAAGTTCTTTTGCTTTTTGTTCCCATTTAAGTTACAAGTTAGATACTGTTTTTAAAAACATTTAGTGGCACAGAAGTTTATCAAGGAAAAAAGTGACTAACTACTATTAGCAGTTTGGTAAATTCCTCCCAGATTTTTTTCTATACTTATACATTTACACACATTATTTCAATATCTACTATGTGTGACATATATATGTGTTTAACTCTTGATCTAAAAATGCAAATAGTTTTCTGGAGTAAATATCACCCATTCAGATCTTCTAATGGTACACTGTCTTCTTTATCTTGGCAGAAACTTTCTAATACTTATAGCTATGACTCCAAACATAAATATTAACTACAATGTGCTACTCTGTAAAGCAGTTATTCTTTGTGTACATAAATATGAAGAAATCTCTTCACTTTAGTATCATCCATTATTATTACTTAATCTCTGAGTCTGTTTTATTTTCTATAAAATGGAGACAGCATGAGCCCACTTCCAGGGTTATTTTCAATTAATCAAGAAACTTCCTGTAAAATATGAATGTGTAGAATATTACTCATGTACCCAATACCGTGCCCTAACTATAACACAAGTCCTCCACAACTGCTACCTTTACCCCAACAAATAAGCCTAAAATTCAGAAGCAATTTTTGGCTTAATTGTAAGTAAGCAGCAGAAGCCTCTTTAACCCATAAAGCCACCAAAAGGACCCAGGGCATCAAAACCAAGGTAGGAATAGAAAAGAGCGGGCAGAATGGCAGGGGATGGGGCAAGGAGAAGGGAGAAAAAGAGGCAAGAAAAGTAAGAGATGTGCATCGTGTGAGTGCAGAGGGCCACGGGTACCTGCCTCCTGGCCACTGGCCTGACCCACTCTGCCAGAGAAGCACAGCCTAGAGGACAGGCTGCCATGGGGGAGTCCTCAGGACACTCTGCCTAGACAGTGCTTTCCACACCTCTCATCATGACACTAATTCACGTGCAGCACTTCCCACTGCAATCTTTACAAAGGCAACACCACTTTCTGCGCTCTGCTAAGGAGCTCCAGACCTATAAGTGGGAAAGATGGGAACCAGGTGAATAAGGCACAGCTTGTGCTGAAGAAGTCCAAGTCTTGACCTGAAGTGACCAGACAGACTCCAAGAAGTGCTGGCCGAGCAGTGAAGTGTGAGAAAGTCAGAATGAACGCCCAGGAGCAGGCTTGGAACTGAAGGGGCATGGGTTCATCCTATAGCCATGGTTCTCAATGTGTGCCAAGTCTGGGGAACACCTGGCACTTGTTAGGACAGCAAATTATCAGGCTAATGCTAGATCTGCTATACCAGAAACTCCAGGGGTGCAATCCAGCAATCTGCTTGAAAAAGCCTTTTAGGGGAGGTTGAAATCTGAGAAGCACCATTCTGGAGGTGGTGAGGAGGGGTAATGCTCAAGAGAAAACCTACAAGAAGTGTAAGCAGTGTGTACAAAGCAGAAGGGAGTGGAAGGGCTAGAGAGAAACTAATTCCTGTGGCTTGGACTAGGGCAGAGGCAGCAGGAGGGAACAGCAACGCTAATGAATGGGATCTAGCGGAGAAAAGGTGAAGGGCTGAGGAGATCACAGTCCCATGTGATAAACAGCAGACGGGATATGGGGTGGATCTGAGAAAGAGACGGAGTTTAGCTTTGGATATGTACAGACTACATCCCTTCAAGACCAGTTTACTCTCTTGACTTAAACTTTCCCAATTCTTCTTTTGAGAATCACTGTTCTATAGGATCATTTTATAACACACTTTTAGCTACACAATTCTTTAGCTAGGTTTAAGTTTGGGGTGGCATATAACCTTCAGGACTTTGAGAAACATGGAGGCAGAACAGCCAAATCAAAGTTAAAGAAGTTAATTATATCCCCAACAAAGCCATCATCCTGACAATGTGACCAGAGGACAAGATATTTTTTATTGCTTTGATTGGCAATTAGAATAATTATAATAGCTTGAAAATGAAGCAGTAAATGAGACATATGCCACAAAAAGAAACTAACCATAGACTCAATGAAACTGGGGAGGTCATGGTGTCACTTAAAACTGAAATTTCAAGAGAGGAGGTTGAACCAGATAGGGACGGGCACACAGCACAAGGACCTGTGCTTCGAGATCGGTCACCATGAAATGATGGCATATTCCCCTGAAGAATCATTTTTATGTGCTTAAGGGTTACTATTCTTCTTGTGCAAGAATGCTAGACTTAAACGCCGGGCGTCAGCAGCCTCAGTGATATCACTCCGAGGGCATGGAAGCACAGCTGTCACAACTGGAGCCCAGAATGTTAGTGTGTGTTACAAAACAGAACCACTTCAAAAGTAGAGGATTTAATTACAGGATTGGGTTATTCAAGTCCACGCGGCTATTTCTAGGAACATCTACTTAAATGAAAAATACCTTTAAATTTGGCCTCTCTGGCCTTCTGACACCTACTGATTGGGATGAAGGTTGGGGTTTCAGTTGTGCTCAAGAAACAGAGCCAGCTAAGCAGACAATCTGGACAGAACGCGCAGGAAGTCGGTCATTAAGACTGTAAGTCAGAAGGGCTTACGGGTCTTTTGCTTCCTCTGCTATAGATCACTTTAATGTGGTTACATAGTTTTCCCGGTTAAAAAAAAGATGATGAGTCAAACACACTCCAGTCAAATGAGCAGTCACAAGTATATTCTGCGACATCTATACAAGCTTAGGTTCCTCAGGAGGTCAGCTCCCCACATGGGCTGGATTAGGAAATAAAAGTTCAAGCTCCTCTTGGGGGCAGGAAAAGGAAAAGGGGGGGACAGGAAGGGCACAAAAACCATGAACAGCTGTGTATGGTTCCCGAGAGACTAGAACTCTTGCCAGTATCGGACAAATAGGAACAGCTGACTATGAGTTATTTTGTGACACTTCTGCATTTAAATGCAAAAGCAAATTACACTCTTGAGGATGTCTTAGAGATAGAAAACCCTAGGCTTTATAAAAAACTGCGGTCTCATTCATCTCCATCCACAAGTGGAGATCTACAGGCCATCGCAGCTAAAAGCCCACTGTGCTACCATTGTTTTATTCCCAGAGGAGAGACATGGGGGGAGGTGGGTCAGGAGGAAGAAAGAAGACAGGGTGGGGGTGGGGTGGAATAAAGGAAAGGGAGGCTAAGAGAGAGAAGGGGACGGAAGAGAGAGAGAGAAGTGGGGAGAGGTAGAGCTGAGCAACTTCTTTTTTTTTTGAGTCGGAGTCTCACTCCGTCGCCCAGACTGGAGTGCAGTGGCCGCTCCTGGCCACCGCAGCCTCGACA